GTTTTCCAGTGATTTCTCTAGGTGCAATTCAAATACAGTCGGTGTGTCTTGTTTACTGAGATTTGCAAGCGTTTGAGCTGGCCATCATGTTAGTTTTTTCACATGGTTGATTACTGGCAATGGCATGTTGATTTCCCATTTTTTAAGCCATGTTTTCAACTTTGTTTATCATTTTCATATAGCAATCTCGTCATATGTTAACATTGTCGTCTATGGAGTTTTAATTAGTGGTATAAGCCCTGGTGACAATGGTTGTGTCCATAGGTGTCTGCTTTCAGGATTAAAATATCAAAACAAACCCTGCTAAAATCTTCAAAGGGATATCAGAATATTCTAAGGGAAACTGATAATGAGATAGCAGGTTCCATGATCAGTTCAATTTGTCGCTCGCCTAATTAAATATTTTCTGAAGTATCAATTACAACCTTGTTCTATGACTGCACTCCTTTATTGGAGTGTTGCATTGTGGGAGTGTACTAATAATCTTTCAAATGGCAGATTAACAAAGTGAAATAGAAATAACATTTACCTGACAAGTAAGTCACACTATAGTTAAATCATTACAAATATATATGAACCTTCTGAAGTGATGTCTGGTGTTTCAAAAAAACACACCCTGCTTGACATGTAGTATATATAGTATATGCAAGCAATAAGAGATGCTCCATTATGATTTTCATCACACTGATGACCCTTGGGCCAAAATGTTCAAGGGCAGGTGAAGTTCATATCAATTGACGTATTCAAATCACCTCCTGTTGGTCAGGTCATCGACAATTCTTAAATTGTCATTAATTGCTGTAATATTTAGATTGGTTAACATAATTCATCAACATTCCAAGGCAAAGATCAAATTTGAATTATTATCAACTCTTCTTGGTTTACAGTTTTTTCCCCTTTTTTCCAAGGTCAGTTCTAGTAGTGGTCAGATTTGTAATGTTCCTGAACTGACTATTTTTTAATTAATTTCAGTATTGCTTATGTAAATCTGTTTTATTTGGCATAACTAGATATAACTTATCTGTTAATTATATTTTAATTATTGTATGAATTATACTTCGGCCAAGTATCATCTATGAACAGGCAATCCAGATAAGTGGCACTGAAAACTGAATTAGTTTACTATAGTAAATGACTATAGTAAATGTGCTTACTAGTATGTCAACAGTGAAATGTGGGGGAAGTGATGTGAGATTACTTTTATTTGAAAGGGGAATTTGTATTCGTAGATAACGTGAACCGTAAGCTTATCTGCACTTGTCAGCTTGGTTTGTCTAGTTATTATTTTGCATACTGTACATTACTGATGAATGTTCTATTTAGCATAACTATATATACACTGGCTTAATGATCCTAAATATGTTATACTGCACCACATACCTGCATATACCTTTGTCTCTTAAACATTATTGTGTGTAACTGACCTTTGGACTGCAACATTTTTAATTATATCCCTCCTCGATTATTGCGTTGCGTCGTGTTTTTGTTTGTTCATTGTAGTATGTTGCTGAGCTTGCCGGTGGTAAATTACAACCTACCCATAAAGTGAAAACTTTTACTGTTTGTTTGAACATTAAATAAATTAGGTGAAGGTCATTTGCCATTAAAGGGCAGTGGTCGTCACACACCACGTGTTTGAGTTTCACATGAATAATGTACATGTATTATACACGTCTTGTGCACGTCGCTATGAATCCCGTATTGAACAAAACGCGGCGCGTGACGACCACCACTCATTTACAAGTACTTCTCAACTGCGTTACAACGCATTACGTACATGTCATGTAAACTCGCCTTGCGTTTATATGTATTATGGTGACATATTCGTTTCATTAGACACAAATAGAACTAATCCAAGGCGTGTGGCTGATTGCCTCACTCTTCAGCAGTTGGTGATATTGTTTTGAAATATAAATATACTCAGCCACATACTATTAAATGCATAGAGAAATAAAGCTTAACAGTCTTAAAGTAACAGGTAAATTTTATTATTAACTCACAAGTTTATGTAAATATTAAATAGTGACGTATATATGTGTAATTAGTTAAAAAATCGCTAATTGGACAGCCCGTCATTTCATTGTCTGGAAAACAATAACCTATGACCCATGACCCTAGTGGGTTATGCATTGACCAGTCTTGAAAGCAAATAGACTATTAACCATTAACCATATCCTTCTACATCTAAGTTCAACACTGCGTACGTTCTGTAAGAATAGAGCAGGAAATAAGTCACTGGCGCACCACAATGGCTCTCTCAAAGCTGGAAAGACTGGAAGTCATAGAAGAAGATTTTCTATTGTGTAAGATATGTTCATATTCCTACACGGACCCACGCATTCTTCCCTGCCTTCATAGTTTTTGCAAAGAGTGTCTGGACCAGTGGACCACGAAAAACGATGGATTATTTACGTGCCCAACTTGCTGTAAAATGTGTCAACTTGAGGCTGGTGGAACCGACAGGCTTCCGTCTTCCAATCTATTAATAGATTCTCTTGTTAGTGTTGTACAGGAAATTAGAAATACTACCACACCAACAGGAATAAGCATGTCGTGTGCTTCATGTGAGTCGATGGTCGGTAAACGTAAGTGTGAGGAATGCACAGTTGATTTATGTGGGGCATGTATTTCAAAACATGCTGATAAAGATAATTCAAAGTGCTCACGGTCTTTGTCACATGAACTGCAGGAAGAACAACTCTTATGTGCATCAAGTAGTGAGTATCGAATAGAGGCGAGTTGCTCCAAACACCCAGACAACAACGTGGAAATGTACTGTATTACGTGTGATATTTCTATATGTAAGGAATGCTCTCTTGTTGAACATTGTGTTCCTGAACACCAACACAAAAAATTGGGAGACGCTGTAGCCGAGAAGAAACATCAGACTAGAGTTTCATTAACAGCTCTGCGTGCTAAGACAAGGGTCATTGATCGAACTGAAAAGGCAGTAAAAAGTGAGCTGGACACACTTGCAAAACATAAGGAAGAAGCTGAAAAAAAGATCACGCAGCACTTTGAATGCGTGATCAGTCACGTGACGCAGATGAAGGACAGAGCATTGGATTCAGTTGATGAGATTAGCCAGTCTACTGCTGATTCGCTAAATTCTCAACTTCGAAAACTCCAGGCAAGCAATTCGCTAATAAAGAAAACATTAGACTTTTCTGAAAAACTGATGCTATATTCAAGTCCTTCTCAATATCTCATGGCACAGAGAACAATTGAAGATCGGCTAGAACATTTACAGGAAATAGAAATAGAAAACACACCAAAACTAAGTGGTGAACTCCAGTTTCAAGAGGATGAATCTATGATGAAATGTGGATTTGGAGTGATAAAAGGAACAACTGTTTCAGGGTCGAGATCTGAAGTTATGTTATCACCTCTGTGGGACACACTGAGAGCAGGTGAAGGGACAATGGTTATGGTGGTAACTCGGGACAAAGAAGGTGAGACTGTGACAGCATATGGTGTTGTAAGAGCAGAGCTACTAAATCCACAAGGGGCCAGAGAAAATGTACCTGTTACTGACAGTGTTGGTGGCACTCACTCGCTAACTGTTCGATTTTCAGAAGAGGGACAGTACAATTTGAAAGTCTTTGTCGGTGAAGAAGAAGTTACAGGGTCCCCATTTAGTTTGCAGATACATCCCCCAAGAGGAACTGTAAACATATTCGGCGGTGAAGGTACGGGGGCAGGATTATTCCATTCACCAAAGGGGTTGGTAGTGGATAACAAAGATAGAGTTGTTGTTGTGGACAGAGACAACCATAGAATTCAAATCCAGGACTGGGAGGGGCGTCACCATGATACTATCGAATTTTGTGAGTTTCCTAAGCAGTTTACACCAACAGAGATTACAATTTCCCCTGATGACGACTATTACGTGACAGACATTGGGAATCGTCAGATTGTCGGATTTAAAGAAGATAGAGTGGTTGTCTCAACGTATGGACATGATTTCATCACAAAGCCAACTGGAATTGCCTCGACTAATGCCACTATTTTAGTGACAGAAGCTACAAGAAAGGGTTGTTTGAAGATTTTCCAGACAGACGAAGACGATGTCAAAAGCATCGGTATCCAGAACAAACCTGCATTTGTTAAGGTTGTAAACCATAATAAAATAATGATCTCCGATGCGAGTCATCATCGTATCCAAGTGTTGAACATGACAGGAGATATCATAAATTTGTTTGGATCACGTGGTTCAGCAGATGACCAGTTTAACAATCCCCAAGGCCTGGACATCGACAGAGAAGGCAACATACTCATATGTGACTGCGATAACAACAGGATAAGTCTATACAGCAGTGAAGGGACCTACCTTCGACAAGTAGTGACTAGTGGGACAGTCACCAAACCATGTCGTATTGCAGTTTCGAGGTGTGGACCACAGCGTATCGCAGTAACGGAATTCAACAAACACACAGTTAAAGTAATCTACATATAGATCTAATATATACCAAATATGGACATACTTTTGAAATAATTATGTAAAATGCAAATACTGATATTTACCATATTGATAATGAATACCATTTCACACAGGCAAATATCATCACGAAACTACTAGAACCTTTTTTATTTACTTTAAGGCCTGGCATAAAAAATTGAAAGACCAATCTAATTTCTATTCATTTCTGAAAAATCAACAGTTCCACACCATAGTGTGACTAATAAACAATTTCGTTACTCAATATGTTTGCAATGACTTCAAGCTACTGGTTTACCGATTCAATTGTCGGTGACAATGCGTGTCTGTATAATACAATATAAATGTAATTCTACGTTATGCATATTTATACTTTTTCACAAATCGTTGGTGAATTGTGGAGGGAAAATCTTTCTATAATATACACATGACACTGCTACATGCTTTTACTCAATAATTCCAAAATACTGTATAGTTGTGTCATCAACAATCTCATTTCAGTGGCTGAATCGAATATTGCTGACACGGTACAACTTTCAGAGGTGTCATTAATGTTTGCAACTTGCCAGTTATAGCCATTGATAAATGTGCGAATAACCAGAGGATTCCATCGGGTAGAACACATTTTTTTAAAACTTATTTTAAGTTCTAACGGCAAACATTGCCCAATATCACCCACCAATTTCTCCTATCAATATCAAATAACGAACACAAATGGCTTGCTTTTCGTCCCAGGTAAAATTAAAAAAAGTGATATGCTTTTAATTTTTTTTAAATAATAATATTAAATACCACTATATTTATTAAATAATGCTTTTAAATGCGTGCAATAAAAGTTGATTAAGATCGACAAATACCTTTGAATCAGAAAACAAAAACAAATGTTTTCCCATTTTACCGCACATGGCGCACTTCATCGGTACGTGGAATTCACAACACAAATGTGTAAAGACAGAGATATAAAACTGACGCACGCGATAGCATAAAGCAAAACTCTTCGTTGTACTTTACCTGTATATACGTAAAATACATTGTGGTGTAATTCACAATTTGTGTATTTTGTGAAAAATAAAATATGGATAAATCTTGGTGAACGTTTATCAATGATACTGTTGCGCGAACAGTCGGGAATATAATATTACACGCACCACCGATACTCTTACATAAAAAAAGCCAGGCAATACTGCGTTACATACATCTAATATACTTTTACATGAACAGCCAGGGGAATGGTACATTCATCAGGATACTGTTACGTTAGGGAATACTGTTTCACATTCATCATGGATACTGTTCCATGAACACTCTGGGAATACTGTGTTACATGCATGCATCAAAGATACTGTTAAGTGAAAAGTCAAGGCATACTGTGTTACATGCATCGAGGACACTGTTTCGTGAACAGTCAGGGGACATGTTGTATGCATCGAGGACACTGTTACGTGAAAAGACAGGCAATACTGTGTTACATCCTTCATTGATACTGTTATGTAAACAGTCAGGGGACATTACATACACCAGAGATACTCTTACTTGGAAGTGCAGGAATGCTTTGTTACTGGCATCAAATATACTGTTGTGTAAAAAGTAACATGCAATAAGAACTCAGGTATACGCTTATGTGCACATTACTGATACTGTTACGCGAACATTCCGGAGATACTTAGTCACGTGTTGCAGGGTCACTGTTACGTGAACAGTTAGGTTATACTAATCACGTGCATTAGGGAGTGGATACTGTTTTGATAGTATTTCTGTTATGTTTTTTTTTATCAAAGCGTATTAATTAATTAATATTAAGTAAATATTACATGCGCAAGTGTTGTCAAGCTGTATGAACTATGTTTTTAATTAAAATTAAAATGACCTTTAAAACAACTACTTGTGTAATAATAGTTTGTGTCGTGAAACGCACCCAAACTATCCCCACCATTTAGTAGTTTTGGACATTGACCATGGGAGTTATCTGCCTATGGCTTTGGAATGTTCAACTATTTCGTGTTGTATTCCTGCAATTTCTACCTTATGGGGCAGTATTCACTGTTATAATCTTCGTAAACTGACTTTAATTTTGCTGTATCTGTGTTGGCCTGCCGTCCTGTTCTACCTGATCTGCTCAGGCTTTGAGGCCCAGAAAAAACATATCTCAGTTTTCACGACGGAACAGTACTGCCTTGTATTATGTTTCTTCCAAGGTAGTATATTTATTTTGTTGTTGAAAAGAGCCCTCTACCGCAAAACCAAACCCCCTCTTCTAATTACCTCCGTCAATAAGGTAATGTTTTCGGTGGCGTTAGTTTATTTCTTGTCTTTTCAATCGAATTCTCATACAATTTCTAGGTGGGTTGCTATTAATACAGGCACAGCTGTTAAATGTTAGTACAGATGGACACGGTTACAATAAAATGGTTACAATAATGAATAATTATTGTATAATAATTATATTACTTACAACTCCAAAAGTTATTGATGAGTTCTCATAAAATTACCAGGGGTGCCATGAACAAAAGGAACAATCGATTAGATCTCGGTACAGACATGTACACAATTGCCATGGTAGCAGCAATTTTGGGAATGTTTTTTTCACTTATAACTGAAACTCAAACTTATAAAAGAATTTCTATGACATTCTCAGTAGAAGATGTTTTTATTACGAACCAATCAATTGGATTTGGGCGCAGATTCAGATATGGTCGCCATGGAAACAACTATTCCATGATTTTATTTTTCATTTAGATTTCAGTTCAGATTTTGATGGAATTTTCAGCAGGGATTTTATCCTTGAAACTAGTACTAATTAGATAGAGATATACAGTTGTCTGCTAGCAATTTCGTTGCATTTCCCCTCGATGAAAGGCCAGTAGAATATTATTGTGGTTACCATCAAGCCTCATCAAGGTACTAAACGATGATGTAAACCTGTCTTCAACAGCCGCGGCGCTGGTGATATAACAGTGTATCAAAT